TTCTCTACAATCTGTGCTGTTAGCCATTATAGCAATGCTCTGTTTACATGAAGACATTCCCCTTTGTCATCACTTCCTGTAACTTCACATGCAAATACCTCAACATCTGTTCATTTCAGCGGCGTGAAATTTTGTTTGCAATATGTTAATGTTATTCTTCCAATAACTCATTCATATTTAATAAAAAAATGTGCTTTAACAGGCACTTTAAGGGCTCCACATATAGCAGAGAAGTTGGACACATGGATAGTTATTAGAAGGCATTTAGCCACATTCTCATTCATTCTTTAAGACATAAAAAGAAAATATTCCCAGTTTAGAATCCCTAAACCATCCTCTCTCTAATCATGAACAAGTGTCATCTGCAAACAGAAACTGTAGTAATCTAAGCTCTTAAACGAAAATAACAAATAAAATGAAAGGAGTTGGTGTAGACCAAACACTGAACCTTGAGGCACTCCACATTTATTCTACTCAACATAATTCTCTTCATTTTTAAATGCTTTAGGTTGAATTTTGAGCTCTATATTCATCTGTTCACTATTTWTATCAGTGCATTTGAACGAATGAATAAATAACCAAAGGAATCACTGTCTTAAAAAAATAAAAACATGTCTTACATAAAATACCACTGAGTCACTGCTCTTCCACTAACAATTTCTACCATCTCTGAAAACCCAGAAACCTTTTTTGCTGCCTGTGTCACAAAATGGAAGTCCACTTCTGTTACGTATTACAGCACTCTGAAAAACCACCATACGTCCTAAAAGCACATCTTCGCTAATTTCCCCTCGACTCTGCTGAAAGTCAGAGGCACTAAAATGACTCTGGAGCATGAATCAGAAGCCAACAAACCCAAAGTGATGCAGGGCAAATTATCACTGGACAGACTACGGCAATAATCATGTCTAATGCGAGCTATTTGACCAGGGCTTTTATCTTTAAGCACAAAAAGAAAAGGCAGGAGGAGTTGAATGCCACAGAGACGGCCGCTGATGCCTCTCTTCCCTGAGAAGTGGACAAAAAGGGAGAACATTTTAAAGTCTGATGCCTTGAAAAGTGACAGCCTGACATTTGCTTTTCAGTGAGGCTGGTAGTGAAGCAGGGAGATTGGCACTTGGGCAGCCAGAACAGGCTGGCAGGATGGAAGAGGAGATGGCAGGGGTCCTCTGTCTGCAGACATCTTTCCTGGCAGTTAGCATGCATATGTGTGTGAGTGCAGGTGTGTGTGTGTGTTTATAGCTACAACTGTGGAGGCGTACGTATGTGTGCGCTCTGGTGTGTGTGTTCTGCAGAGCCATGTGCATGCACGCTCCTGTCTGTGTGTGTTTTCCTCTAAGCCTCTATAAAAGATGCCTTTCCTGGCAGCGCTGCCTGGCTGTTCTTTGCCAAGTTTCGCCTGTTGCTTAGCAACATCAAAACTACCCCAAATCATCAACCGGCAGAGGAGACCTGGCCTGAGTTTGATGCCAGCTAGCATCTCCTCCCCGTCCCGACTCTGTGCCAAGATTGCCACAGAGATTTTTTTTTTTTGGAACAGGAGGCTCTGGGCAGCCCACTCTGTCAGCTGTGGTGATTTCTGGCTTTGATTACAAGAACATTAAGGGTGGGGGTTTGCAGACTTAAAAAAAGACATCAAGTTTATTCCTTTGTGTAGAAAAAATAAAAATACATTTTTGCTAATTGTGCATCCAGCAAAGCACCCTCGAAGACATAACTGTCGAGGAAACATTTGTATTTGTGTACTTTTGTTTTCACTCCAGGTTGTTATGAAAAGTTCAAATGGTGCAAAGGATTTGGATTTACAGCAGTTTTTATAAATATCTTAATTGTTTTTTTGGGATGATGCAGCAACAAAACAAGTAATTTTAGAAATTCAAAATAATTTCAAGAAAGTGTAATTAAGCACACTTTTTGACAGGTAAGTAAACCAATACAAATAATCAAAGTTATTATTTTGTAAATTTAAATTATTGAAATTCTATGATTTGGTTGATTATAACATTTTGTTAGTTATGTAAAAGGCTCACTAAAAGACATTACCTTTAAACATTCAGATNGATTCCCGGACCGAGCAGGGCGTCGGGGGGAAACGGCACCGGCTGCATCTGACCGTCGGCGCTCACGTGGAACGAGTAGGCACTGAGACGGAGACGCAACTGTCAGGTGACTGGTAGTGCAAACTTTTAGAAAAGTTCACAGGATAATCAAAACGGASTCAAAACATGAAACAGTTTAATCCAGCCTCGTGCTAAAACAGGATTAAACAATCCAGGTTTTGACTCAACAATTTTTATTCTCTAAAAGCTCTTTTTTCCTTTGGAACCATCCATAACAGCTGCCAAATTATTCAATRTTTCATCATCGTATGTTTGGGAGTCATTTTAACTAAAACCCATCAGGGTTTTTGTAAAAAAATAGTTAGAAAACATCAAATAGTTTGTTATTTCTGTGGTCATTGTTAAATCTTATCCCCTAAGTGCTAACTCCTGCATATTTACACTGCCATGAATTGTAGTAATGTTGATTAATATGTATTGTCCAAATCCAATAATAATAATAATAAAAAAGAAACATAAAAAAGTTTGCTTTAAAGCTCTCCACCTCAGAGTGTTCTCCTCCAAAACTACTTTATTTCTGACAACTTCTCTTAACAGTTTTTAGTTGTTTCTTTTCAGAAGACAGAAGAATTTCTCCTTTATAAGCACGACTAAGCGTCTCTTGACTCCACTGTCCTTCCTCTCACTCTCTTTACATTTGGGRATTATTTTCTGAGTTTTAAAATGTAAACAAACGACTCTTAATTGTTGGCAACAAAATATGTTTCTGCTTATTTCACTTATTTAGTACAAATAATGTTTAGACTTTAGGTAGTGAATATTTAGCGTTTTTTATTTGAGTTGATAAACACAAAAATCTCTAATCAAAATCAAAAATTGAACATTTTGAAAACTATTGTAGCTTTAAGAAAATACTATTTTCTTAAATAAACTTCCTAAGTGAAAGCTGAAAACAAAACTATCAGCGTCTCTTTTAATGATTTGATAAAAAAAATTTCATGATTTTTCAGGTCAGGGACATCATCATGAAAAAGACATTATCTATGAAGGGTGTAACCGAACATCAATCCACATGGATATATAGATTAAATGATTAACGATTTAATTACATCAAGGTAAAATGAAAATTTCAATCCATATCATCATCACATCCCTGATGTGGATCAATACATCGATCCCAGACGGGTAAATTAAGTCTAAATCGTATCATGACAGACTTTGTAAACATTGTATCGTCATCCAAACAAATCAATAAAATGTATTGTAGAAAAGCAGCTGATTTACGCCTCATTTGTCTCCACATGAGAAAGATCGCAGTCAGTTAAGAGAAATATGAATAAATCAAACATTGACAACTGTAGAATTTTTTAATCYATTGAAGTTTGAAATTTTCATTTGAAGGTTATCAACAAAGTAGAGCAATTAGCCGTCACTGAAGATACTTTTAAATGCTAAATGAATTTAAAAGCCTATAAAGACTGTTTAATGTAAACTCAAAAATTAATTAAYGAGGAATTTCATTTTTACATTTCTCCTGGTAATTCTGAGAAGCTAATATTTCATGTTACCTTCATTTGGGTTCTAAATCAACAGTAAAAAAATGCAGCTTATGKGTTTTCCTAATGACATTTTAACGTTCGTCAGTTCCTGCAAAACATTTAGAAATATCAGTGACTCCTGCTGTCGTTTGGGGATATATTTGAATTTGTTAAACAGTAGAGATTGGACTTTACAAGAGGACAAAAAGGATGAGCAAGACAAAATAAAGGTCATAGCTAAGGAGAGGGGAAAAAAACACTCACGGTTTTCCTGTAGCTGACTGCAGGCTGGCAGGGAGCCCAGGGACCCTCATATGTGGGTGTGGAGACTCATAGCCCACCTGGAACAGATGGAGGTTACTTAAAATAAGCTGCAGGAAAATACTGTCAGAAGAGARGAGAGTTTATTGTTTATTAAAACAATCTGAACAAAATATCATTTAAAATCAAAAAGAGCCATCAAGTGTCAAGGTCAAAAGAAAAATGACAAAATAGTCCCTTATCTAATAAAAACCCTCGCTTCTTTTACCCCTCCGATATCTCCAGAAGCTGGGATGTTGCACATGACGGTGACACTGCAAAGATAAAGAGTCTGCAGAGCATCAGGCTCACCACAGGGGACCGTCCGTAGCCTGCAGCGGCTGCAGCTGCTGCTGCTGCAGCTGCTCCATTCATCTGGGGGGAGACCAAGTGGAGACCGGCTCCGTAGCCCGCCGCCCCGGGCAGGTCGCCATTCACCCCTGGAGGAGGCAGGCCAAAAGCTCCTGGAGGGTACGCTCCCTGCACCGCCAAGGGGTTCCTCAGGCCCAGAGCTGAGAGGTGGGAGGACACGAGAAGACAAGAATGATCATTTGTTTTGGACAAATTACCAATTGAGGCAAATAATAATGTGTGTCAATCATTCACAAGCCCTTTCTTTTTTTTCTTTTTGTAATTTTAGCGTGGGATGAAATAAGATACACAATCTATTAGTGTGGCGCCTTCYGAAGAGCCTTTCACACAGCTGTGACTGACAAGCTGTGAACAAGCTGCAACAAAAAGCTGGAGAATAACACTGACTGCAGCACTGGACCACTACTGACCCCTGCTGGCCACCGTACCTCCCTGCACTAAGACAGCACATGTATGTCTGTATTTATGGCCTCTGTCCACACATGTAGCTGTGGGGTGTGTGTGTGTGTGTG